ACGAGGTATTTTGGATGTTCATTATTCCTGTCACGCGACCGATTTGCCGAGAATTCAGAGTTGATTCACAGCAATGCAAAATGATTTACAGTTTTGTTGACATTTAACTCCACGTGAAGAATGATGTATATTTCATCTGCATCAGATTTGTGAAGTTTATATCTAGACACAGATGTATAAGCAAATCATTTGTTGGCAATAGTCAAGAATTATATTTTGCAAAATGGTAAATTTAACATCATTTTATATAGCGAATAATGTGTGTGATGTTCAGGCAACATAAAACACCATTACAGTTCTCTGATTTCATGGTAAAATCGACCGGCTGGAATTGAAGTCAGACTTACATACCTTAATATGCTGGATAAATACATGTTTCTTTTGATCTCTGTGAAGCTTAGAATAGGATACACTGGTGGAAAGGTTAAATTAAATGCACAAGTGGTCATATGACCAGCTTTCATCCAGGAGCTCTCTCTTTGATGACAAGGGACATAGAGGAGAGAACTTGGGATCAAGGTTGTTCATGGCCTTGCATGAAGCCCTGGCTAAACAGAGTAACAAGTGTTCACTCATACCCATGACTTTGTTTGGCAATGGCAAGTGGATTATAGTGAAATTCAAAACCAATTTTCTTTCAGTTTATTCCTTATTTTATGCCCAATTCAATGTATATTTTCAATCAATTCAATGCCAATTCAATTCAATGACCCATTTAATTCAATGCCATTCAATGCCCAATGGTTCCTTCAGCATTCAATAGATATCAATCAATAAATTGACATCAATAATTTAATAAATTGATCAATAAATCAACTAATCAATTAGTCCGTTGATCAATCTTGTTGGTAACATCAGTAGGCAATCTTCAATCCTTGTGATGCCAAGCGCTGCTTCACTTACATGCCACTTTATACTAGAGGCCATCATCCATGGATATATGAAGTGTGGTGTACATAAAATGCATCCTGGCATGCAGTGGCAGTATTTAAATGATTATTGCTTTTTCAAATTACATGCACTTAGGAGTAAACTTGTTAGACAATTTGACCACCTAAGGTATCCAAGTCTGGACTCAAAGTACTTCAAAACTTGCGACTGTTGGTTGCTGCTTGTAACTATGCATGGTCAGGGAGTAAGTAGCCTTCAGTGACTACACTGTGCTAGATATCTTAATACAATTGAGCCTCGCTATTTCAAACTCCCAGGTAACTGAAAAACAGTTTGAAATAGGGGAGTTTGAATAGCCAATAATAAATGACTGTAGTGCAAATCTAAGGGAAATGGTTCTGAGTTTGAAATAACAATGAATTCAAACTAGCAGGGTCCAGCCATAATGCTTTTTTATTTTGTTTCCCTCAGGCGTAAAAAGGAAAGTCGTGAACCGCATACACATGCTAAGTATGCTCACAAACTCCATGGCCTCAAGTAAGTTAAGCAGCCATGTCACATGGTACATTGTTGCACTTGTATTAATTCTTACGGTAATGTAGAATCAATAGGTTACATGTTAGTACATGCTCTGTTGCATTGCAGTGTAGATACCCTTCATAATGTTTATTTGTAATTCAACTCTTTTTAACCAGGTCTGACTTGGAGTTGCTGATCTACAGAGTTGTTGAATAACTTAAATTTTAGCATTTAGCATCTCACTTCTGTTTTACTATTGGGAGTGTGTAAATGATTTGGTCATACATGTATCTCTACTTGGAGGAAAACCTTTAAAAATGAAAGTTACTGGTCAATCAGTGGGTCACTACCGGCATTTGGCAAAATCAGGCCAGGGGCCTGAAAACTTTTTCCACCCGGAAAGCTGTAGCAAGATCTCAAACCTTACAATTACATAGCTGTTTCATTTACATTTTAATGTGACCAGAAGTTCCTTTCATACAAGAAGTTTCAGGTGTATACACCTTTCTGTTTGTAGATAAAGATAAAGATAAACTAAAACTGGCTTTGCGGGCCCGAAAAGTTTCCGGAGCTTTTGAGAAGCAGGCCCCTGCTATAAGGCAGAAATCTTTTCATTGTAACATTGTTGGACAACTTTTTACAAATGTGAACTCTTCAGACTCGTAAAATTATTACAAGTTTTGCCCCCTTTCAATTTCAAATTAAACTCCCTTTCAGGATTTTAGCTTGGTAGTATACAAACATTATGAAATTCCATTCAGTTGTGCACTTCTCACCGTCAATGTAAACATTGAGTACAAGGTTTCTCTATCTCTCTAGCCAGGTTATAAGAACAGCAGTTATCAGTTACTGAGAAGTTTTAGTGTTTACTTTACTGCTCTTTGTGTCATATTTGATGCTCGAGTAATAAACATGGGCCACAACTCCACAGTCGACTAGACATTGTCAGGTTGATGTTGTTAGATTTTGCAAAATTAAGACAATCTGTTCTCTTCTTAAATTAAAGTGCGGTTTCTTTTTCAGGGCCAAACTATACAATAAAAAGCGCCGGCTTGAAAAAATACAGATGAAAAAGACGTAAGTAAAAAGAATACAAATTTTTCCAAATCCAAGTTGTGAACCAGTGTTGTGTTACTTTCTGGTCAATACTGTAATCTTGTGAATGATATATTTCAGACTAAGAATGCATGAACAACGCCAGACAAAAACAAGAGACAGCAAGGATGTCCCTGAAGGTGCTGTGCCTGCATATCTATTGGACAGAGAAGGGCAGTCACGGGCTAAAGTGCTCAGTAACATGGTCAAACAAAAGAGGAAAGAGAAAGCGGTAAGTACATCTATGGAAACGTTGAGAACAATCTTTGACATTAGACAAGTGTTGGTAATACCACATACACCGTACTTTGGATTTTACACCGTAATGTCGGAATGTGTATGATTTGTGCATTACAAGAGGTGGTGGTCTCTGAGAACTTTTTAATGGTCTATTTTGATTCTAATATTGAATACTGTCAAGAGTGGTTATTTTTCTTACTCAAAAAGTGTTATTTTGAGGAGAAAATGCACCTCCGTGTAATGTTTGCATTTTTTTTTTCTCAGGGAAAATGGGATGTACCACTTCCTAAAGTGAAAGCTGTGGGGGAAGATGAAGTTTTCAAAGTTATAAAAACTGGACGATCTAAAAGTAAGTCTCTTGGTGTTCAATTTTGCCCTCACTCACTTTGTTACCGTGACTGTGATTATATGTGTGAACTGGCTTCATTAAGATGATGCAGTAGTATCAACGAACAAAATGAAACTGTGGTCAGATGGAGAACAGATTTACTGTTTTATGCCTCTCGCAAAGACATGACTTTGTAAACCATCCTGTGAAGATGGCCTTTGGGTTTTGCAATGCCATTTCCTTCTTTTTTCCCCTAAGTTGCAAACAATATTGCAGTATCTTTCATGATATTCAAAGACCTTCTCAAGATCCTTATAGATGTTAGTGACACACTGTTTCCATACATGTGTTTAACAATGTTGTTTTTGCATGTTTAGAGAAAGCATGGAAACGCATGGTTACCAAAGTCTGTTATGTTGGTGAGGGCTTTACAAGAAAACCTCCAAAGTATGAGAGATTTATCAGACCAATGGTGAGGAAAATCAACTGTTCCAATCTTGTTCAAACTGTCCCCTGTACTCAAAAAGAAATATATACATTTATGCTACATTATGGCCTTCCTTCTCTCCCTCCTTCCCTCACTGGAGAATAGTGTGCTAGAAGCTGTTCACAGACTACATTATGCTTAAAAGACCCCTTCTGTAGACATCTCCCCTGAATTCCTTTGGACTGAAGCTAAAAATGTACTGATATTTGTCAAGTTTAATTAAATCCTAACTGTAGCCTGTTTTGTTTTTATTTAGGGTTTACGTTTCAAAAAGGCTCATGTCACACATCCCGAGGTGAGTTACTAGATTCTGTGAAGCTCTTTCTGGTTATGGTCACAAAGGCTGACTGACAAATGAAATATTTATATTTGTAGAAATGATTTGTATGTATTTACATGCATGTGTCTTATTTCTACTATATATTTGTTTCATTTGCTATGCCAAGCAAAACAATGCACCCACCTTTGCCAAAACTGTCTGATGTCTATATGTAGATGCTTGGATTTCCTTGTAAAAGCAGTTATCCTAGAATGTGTACACGTACATGCTGAAAAACACTGTAATTCACACAGTGTTTGGCAAAACAAACACTTGCTAATATATTGAGTAGGCACTTGCTATGTATTGAATATCTTATTTTGTTTGAATCCCATCTGTAATGTGGTGTATCTCCTGGTATTTTTCAGTTGAAAGCAACTTTCTGTCTACCCTTGATTGGCGTGAAAAAGAACCCCCAATCACCAATGTATACACAACTAGGAGTTATAACAAAAGGAACTGTTATTGAGGTAAGCAGTATTTCCTTGTTTTCCATGTTTCTATAAAGTTGTACAAGTATGAGTATGAGTATGAGTATGAGTGGAAGTTTGGAAGAATGCGAAATGCTGCGGGAACACCAACCACAGAAAGTATTTCCGCAGCTTTTTTAACGTCTCTCAAACATTCAGTAGTATTGCTAAAACTTGTTGTAGTTTACCACTAAATATTCCTTGGTTGTCACTGGCAAAAACTGTTCAGTGATAAAATTTTGCGTGGCCACTATTGGGTGATATCAGAACAATATTACTTGCAGGCAAAGCAGCTAACAAAATGCAGTGTCCGCTTACCATTTTTGTAGGAGGATAAAAAGAATTCACCCCTCCCTGCAACTTACTTTGTAATTTTGAGAGCATCCCAAGTGAGACCAATTATTTTCCTTTATTATTATTATTATTATTATTATTATTATTATTATTATTATTATTATTATCGTACATCACTATGATGAACCACAAACTTCTAAACAACCCGTTTGCTGCACATAGGAGGTCAAGCTGTTCACTGATAAAGAACTTCCTTAGTTTGTTACGTTCTTGAACAGCTCTTTTATGAATTGAAGAAGTGATGATCTAATTTACAAAATTGTTTTCTTGTGTAGGTTAATGTAAGTGAACTTGGCTTAGTGACACAAGGTGGCAAAGTTGTATGGGGTAAGTGTGAATTGAAAGCAATTCCTTTGTTCTTGTGAGGGTTGGAAGGAATATTAATTTAAGACCACTTTACATGTTATCCTTGGTTACAGTCACGACATTTGCTGGCAAAGTTTTTGTGATAATGAGTAGAATATGCCAGACTCCTGTGCGTCAACTAGTAAAGTCATAATTTTGAGTAACTTTATACAGAGAATACTGTCCACCATATTGTGCAAAAACACTTGTTGATAATGGGGAACATGTTTTTTTATGATTTGGACTTTTGCTTCTTGTTAAGAATTGTTGGTGTGTCTCATTTTACAGGTAAATACGCTCAAGTCACGAACAATCCAGAAAATGACGGTTGTATTAATGCTGTATTACTGGTATAACAACTGAAAAGTAGGAAATGAAGTTGTAAATAAAAGAATTTGACCTTATCCATGTTATAAAATGTATTTATTTTTCTGTGTCTGACTTCAAATGATTGTAAAGACACAAGGTACTACTCTAGAGATGACCATTTTTGTATTTTTGGTATTAAGCTAAAGCTAATGGAGGAATTTTTTTACTAAATGTAAATGATTAATGACATTCCCCGCGAGCCTCCAGTGCATGCTACTTAAAATACAATAATGGTCTATTGGATTTTATTTTGAGCCAAATTTTACTCAGATAACCTTATTTCCAGCCGCCTCCTGATTGGCAACTTTCAGAAAGCTTAGGGCCCAAGAACAACTACAGTGTAAGCTAAAGTTAATTCTGTTTCAGTGCTAAGGATTGGTAGCACCTGGTGAATCATTTTGGAATTTGCAAGTACCAACTGGTCAGAAATTGTGTTGTTCCAGAAAATATCCATACCTCTCCCACGCAAGGTTTTTTTTAGCTTGAACCCCTCACCCCTCTGGAAATTCCATTTTAGTGCCATACTTTCCTTTTAAAAGTTGGGCTTTTGAAACCCCCCTCCCCCTTGGAATTTTCGTTAACCTTCCTTGGGGTGGGTATGGATATTTTCTGGAACTACACATTGTGCAAAACTGTAAATCATAATCATATTCTTAGACTGCAAAATACAGTTGACTGTCATTGCACACAGCCAGTTTGGCCTCAGTCACAGATGCTGCCTCTCATGAAAGGGTAATTTGGTATGGAGGGATGAGAGGCAGCTGTAGTCACAGGTTTAAAAGCCGACTTCTTTAGTCCTTTGAAGGTTAAGCCATGTTTGATGGTTGAAAGCGAACTATCATTTTGTTGGCTATTTCATCTTGTATTTCATGGCTGCTGATACACTGTTTCTCTCTTGTACCAAATCTACTGTACAGTATGTTAAACTGTTCTATGGTGGCTACCTATGAAAAAGTAGTCTTTTGCTCTGGATAAATAATAAAAGGTAAACAGTGAAAGGAAAGAAACAGTTGACTCAACATTGTTTTTACTTTATTACCTCACAGGAACAGTAGCTTGGCCACCTACAATACACACCATTAACACTTTATTAATTTAGAATAAATTGACGAGAATTCAACACAACACAACACTCATAATAAATTAACAGATGCTGTTTTCAAGTGATCATTTTGTTATCTAAGAAGAGTTGAAAACACTGGATGACTGGATGTCAAACAGAGTACTGATCAAGGCATGTCAACAGTTACCAGGTATCAGCTTTTCCACAGAATCAAAAAAAGAGTTTACACTTAGAGGAGTTAAATATACTCACTGACAATCAGATTAAGGCTTGACAACAGCAAACCAGTTATGAGCTTGTCCTGAGAATCAAAGTACTAAATAAAACCTAGCACACAACACTAGTTGACGTAACTTGGGCTGTAACATTCAAAAGTGAAGAATAGACTTATAAAACAAATAGTATTAATATTTTTCTTTAAAAGAAATAAATTAGTCTGCACTCTGCCAAATTGACCCACACAACTATGACTTGTCCCAGTTTAAAATAACTCGAGTAAATAACTTATTTATCACACTGTAATCATTTTAGTAAAAATGTGTTTGAACCACTCATTGTAAGTTAAGTTGCAACAAATAGTAACTTTGGGGTAATCAAATCCTCTTCTTTATATCTCCAATCACCAAACACTTAAAACAATTAAAACTGTACGACAAAATATAGGCGGCTGGCCCATCTCGACTAAAAAGACATCAAAATTGACTACTGTGAAATGATATACTCAAGTATATTAACTACATTTCTGTCACTATTTATATTAATACACAATAACTTAATAGTGATTTCATGAAATTTGTTATCTCCTTTTTAACTCTTTTCTAAGTTGCTGGACCGCATAATCCAAACCATCTTCCCCTAGTAACATTTTCCCATATGAAGCAGCCATGTTTCGCACCTCTGGGTTTCCAACATTAACTAGGGCAGAAGCAAACACTTCAGCTCCCAGTGACCTTGGGTGGCCGACAGACTCGCCCACCCCCATCCAGGATACTTTGTCACCCCAATATGACTGGTCAAACATGAATGGGCACACTATCTGCGGAATGCCACACCTCAATGCCATACCAACTGTTCCACTACCACCGTGATGAACTACAGTCTGGCATAAGGGAAAGAGCTTGGAATGTGGGACGAACTCCATTAGACAGTGGATGTGACAGTTTTGGAAGTTTTTACATACCATTTCCCAGCTCTTGAGTAGATTAGAATGGGGGGAAAGCTGCAATAGGGCTTTCTTGCCACACTGAACAAGACCTGGAAAATACAGAGATTAAGGGAGTGTTACAATCAATTTCCCATTAAATACCTTTTTTTCAATTATTGGTAACTTTAGAATCAAATCAGAAAATTATCTTAGTGACTAAAAGCATCATGTTTCAGTGTATTGTTGTAGTCATTCTGATAATAAAAACACCTGTTACCTTCATTCAGTACAGCAAGAAGCTCAACGCAGTCAATACTAGAAAAGAATCCCAGCTCTTCCATGGAGCCAAACCCAATGTAAACTGGTCGTTCACCACTGCCTTTAAAACTAGACAAAAAATCTGGCAGGGTACTGTATCCTGATGTGGGATGATACACCTTGATGTCGTTAATAGGCTCATCTGGGGTTTCCAAGAACCAATAACTACACAGGACAACACTACAAATAACAGGAGATCATTATCAGCTGTTTGTTTTGTCAAGGCAGGGCTTGACACTAACAGTAGCCAACTAGCCACAGACTAGCAGAAATTTAGTTTTGGCTAGTAGGTTTTCGATTTCAACTAGCCACTTTGGCTAGTCAACAAAGTGAAATTGGCTGAACTAGTTTCTGTCTTCTTCAAGGAAGACAAACACAAAATTTACACTTTTCTTGGAAACAAGGTCAGAATTTCATTGTGGACATACCGATGTACTGGGCATGTGCTGTTCAGCATGTATGCAAATTTAAGTTTGTCTACCTTTTGCTGGGTGGTACGTAAATGGGGAACTGAACATGGTAATTTTGTTGAAAGAAATATTTGACAAACAAGACAACATTTTGTGAAAGCACACATCAATGCTCTTTTTTGTTACAAAATTTTTTACACGTGCCGACACCTACACCAACGAATTGAAGAACACAAAGGATCAGCAATTGGAAACCACCTCAGAGAGGAGCACGATATGGAGCTAGAAGACATTGCACAGAGTTTTTGAATCTTAAGAAAGTGTCAGACTAAATTTGACTGCCTTATTTTTGAAATGTTTTTTATCAAAGAACTGAAACCAACGCTAAACAAACAGTGTGATTCAATTCCTGCCAAATTATTTGTAAAGAGGAATTCTTGCTGAAAGTTTTTTCATGCACAAAATAGTGCGGAACTGTAAAGGGATTACATTTCATTTAGCATAACAATACATGTACATGGGTGATTTGTCATTGTATGCAAACTTACAAACTCACCACTACAGAAATAATTAGAAGAGAAAGATTTATTTCCTTCGACATTTAAATCAGCCATTTTTAGCAGTCGAATTTTGCCAACGACAGTTTACAGTTATGTATTGTTCAGATAGTTGTTTCCCTTTTGAAAAGTTTTAACAGTGACGTCTTGGGGGTCATGATATTTTTCCAAGGAAGTCTCAGAGAAAAACAGAGTCCTTAAAGTCTTTTCGGGAACTGGAACTTTTTTAAAACTAGTTTAAGTACAGTATAATTACCAACATTATGTATTAAAGAGAGTCGCTTGCATTGTGCTTTCAAATCTTGCTAATAATTCTGCTGTTATTGGACCTACCTGAAATTTTCGCGACACGTTAATTTTGCGTTTTTTTAAATTAAAGTGACGCAAATAAGTAAGTGTCAGGAACATAACACATTATGTTACTGTTGACATATAGTCCCGCCATTGCGTTTTTGTTACTTTTGACGTTATTGTACCTTTGATAAAGTCAGTTAAAGAAATTAAAAAAACATGTTTAAGTAACATTGCCAACAAAATAAATTTTGGGTTACTCAAAAATGCAAAGTTAAAGTGATTCAAAATACAAAATTTTTGCAAAATTGCTGAATTTAAGTGTTGCAAAATATGTGCACCCCAAAATTGCAAAAATGTCATGTAATAAGGTAGCCAACCACAACGCTTGGCTAGCAAAATTTTTTGGGGGCTAGTAATATTTAAGTTATCACTAGCCACTAGGCTAGTAAGTTGAAAAGTTAGTGTCGAGCCCTGCAAGGACATAATTTTGTTATGGCAGCTGCAGTGCCCTTGTATTGTTTTGGAAGTATTCATCTTTGTATGAGTCCAAAGTAGTAAGCAGGGTATTTTCTTAGTTCTTCAAGGTTTTGGATGCCTGCTCTCCTTTATCACTGTACCATTTTCCCTATGGTTGAACTCACTGCTGAAGAAACAAATTTCCATAAATATTGGCCCAGAATGCATAGAAGGCACTACAACTACAATGACATTTGTATGCATTGCATGCCTATAATGATCGGTGAATACTGTTTCGATGCTATTGGAATATGTGAAGTCACCTTTCTGGCCAGTACTGTGGTTTCTCAATCACTCGTGGGCTGATCCCATACAGTAAGGTAGTGGGTGGTGGAAGGGGGTCATCAGGCCTCAGCTCGGCATAAGGACACACAGGTAAGCCAATACTGTCACAGAATTCACCAAAATCATCCAAGTACAGTCGCCACATCCAGTGGTCAATGTCACCATAACTCACTTGACCTAGAAGTTGTAAAAATCATCCGCTGTCATTATTTGTAATACAATATTGAAGTGATGCACGTGGAGGGGCATAGAATGACAGAAAGGGAAAGGAGTGAAGAGCAGAAATGGAAGAGATGGGAGGAGGCCCACCAAGAAGTTGTCCACTGGAGTGAGTGGTAAGGAATTGCCAAAGCCTTGTATGCCCTCTTGGTACTGATAGGAAAGATAATGATGATGAGAATGATAAATGTCAGTGATTGTGTGATCAAGGAATAAGGCGTCTGCTAGCAGTGATTCAACCATAAATGAAACTGCATTCGCAATTTCCCCTCTAAATTGTTAGATCAGCATTTTATCATCAGAAAGGTATATCACTACCCACAGGTATCACTGCTGATCATATTTAATGCCATGCATTGAGTGCAAGAAATTAATAAAAGAAATACCTTGAGCTGAATTTCGTAGTCTCTGGTACAAATCTGGGTAAGCATCAACAAATTTGCCTTCGAATGTTACAGGTGGGGTTCTGACAAATTAATAACAAAATGTTACATTGAATTTTAAACATAAAATCCATGTCCATATACCATGTTCAGACTCTTTCAAACCACGTTTTACCTGGTGACAGCAAATGGGGATGCTGCGACACATGGTACATCAAAATACTTAGCAATGAACCAACCCTCACAAGCAAAGAGGTTAAAAACAATGCCATCTGCCCCTCGGCAAGCTCGTAAGCTTCCATGCATCTCTATAATTCGATCTTGTTGCTGACTCTTAGAGAAACCTCTTCCACTGCATACTTGAAGCTTGAAACAAAAAAAATAGTATATCTCAGTACACAGGAACATGCTGCATATAATTTAATATACAACTAGGCAAGATGAATAACTGTAGTGGATAAGACAAATAGCTGTGACAAAGCTATATGGCAATAAATTCTCCTTAACAATGGCTCAAAAAGGTCTGTAAATGGAAGTTTCTTTTTCTTTAACTGTCTCATCCTATGCGTCCAAGCTTGCTTGTTTTTCTTAAACCATTTAATCATGCTTTTAGATGTACCTCCATTTTCTCAAGGTTACGAGGTCCATTATCTGTCCCTAGCTCATCCACAGCCATGAAATCAATGTCATACTTTTTAAGGATGCTATCAAATTTCAGTCTGTGGCATGCATGGGTGGCAAGCGTACAGTTATCTGTCGGGCTGTTTTGTCTGAAGGAGATGCAAGATAGTTTAAGTTAGAATTACCTTGTCGTGGTTAAAGCCTGTTCTTTTGAACTGTATTTCACGTCAAAAATGTGCATGGTGCAGAAAATTAAACAATGATGTCTTAGGGAGGTACTTTCAATAACACCTTTTTAACCCCTGACCCTGTGTAAGGATACAAACTTCAAAATGATTGACTGATACCCTTTCTGAAGCCCAAACCTTATTCAAGAGAAAAAACAGAATTTGATGTAAATAGATCATATCTGTTTCCTTTAGTTCAGCATTTACATACATTTATATTTTTAGTTAAAATACAATTTACTGTATCAGTCAATTTGAAATTTAAACATCCCTCCTAGGGAATCCCTTGGGCATAAGTCCTTTTGTTTTGGGAGTAACCCCCCCCCCCCCCTCCAAGAGTAATGTGTTCAAAATAATATAGGAAAATTCCATACGATTTTATTTTTGAAATATATGTGACAGTTTTAACTCAAGTTATCAATAATTGATCAGTAAATGATTCTCACAAATCAAATTTTACAGATCCGATTTAAACCATCTTATTTTGCAGCATATTTATTACTCTATTTCCAAAATGATTTCACCGTACCGGCGAAAAAGGTATATTAAATTGCACCCGGGGTGTCTCGATATGCGTTGCCGATGTTATTCAAGAACGTGAATTAACCAAAATTGCCTAGGTTCTAATGAAAATTTAGCTTGAACAAATAAACAATATGCACCAAACAGACACGATGCACATCACTATAAGCTTGTGTAAACAGTTCCATTGTTTCAATCGGCGGACGGTCGCGCGCTGGTGAAAAAAACAATGCTCGATTCATAGAATTTCGAATTCACCAAGGGGCATCCCTGAAATACGGCAAAAGTGAAGCTGATCTGCACCAATATTCAATCGTAAACGATTTTCGTTCCGCTTCGATTACATTATTTTTCTTTTGCACATCAAGATAAATGGCCAATTTTCTTTCTAACTCAATATTAAGTTCAAGTACCCATTGAAAAATTCCCAGCATGACACTGGCAACAAGCCATAATACAACGAAGGAAAACAAATCCTGCAAATATCCGTGCAGCATTTACGTAAACAAACGCACGGAAATCAAATTAAGATGCATGCATGATAAATCTGATAACAGCCACTCGAGAACTTACTTAAAGCTCACCGCTAGGGCCAGGATAGGAGCCACATCACCTCTAGTTCCTTTGCAAAGGAAAACCACTTTCATTTTTCCTGATGGTCAAAGAAACCACATCAGTTCATTGGATGGGTGAATACAGACGAACACGACGCGGCGTTAAATTTTCATGCAACGAAGCACTCAGTAAGCTAATTTGTATTAATTGATTCCACGCGCTCAGTAACCGAGCTTGAAAAAGAACACGCGCAGACGTCCTGTCACCCACGTTCCACGCAAATGAATAGCCTCTAGGGGCGTAGCAGCCATCTATGTACACACCCGCGTACTTCGAGAAATTAAAAAAAAAAAAATCGAAAAGCGTCTTTTAATTAAAGCGGTTAATTTGACAAAGTTCGTATTACGTTGCTAATATTTCACAATGAAAAATTGGCGAATAATATTTTTTTTATTCAATATTCGAGTACTGAAAGAAGTTTAAAACCCAACGCTAGACTGTTTTACGAGGTGGACGTCCATGAATAGAGGTAAGTAAATCCACCGATCCATGCCATGTGCGCTAGCCTGCGAACAGGCTCCCGGCGAGGACGAAAAAA